GTTTACCGGCCCCGCGCGCGCCCCGCCCCGCCCGCTCTGCGATCTCCGCCAATCATCGCTCGCCGCCGGCGCCCTGCCGAGCGCTCATTGGTCGCTATCGGGAGCCTCACAGCAGGGTTTCCTTCCCGCCCAGCATGCACCGCGCTGGCGCCGTTGCTGTGGCGACGGGAGGCAGCACGGCCCGGCCCGAGCTTCCCGGGGGCATCTGTAGTAAAAACACACACCCCCATACACATATATGCACACACACACACACACACACACACACACACACACACACACCTAACTCCCAGAGCAGCGGACCCCCGCGCCCTCGACGGAAAGAACCAAGCGACCATGGAGTCCAGGGCTCAGAACCTGCCTTTATGGCCTGCGCCTCCCTGACCGTATCTCTTACTTGTGCACTGCATTCAAGACCCAAACATTCTGGAGTTCAGGAAAGATACTTTTCAGGAATTTTGGCATTCACATTCACAGAAAAACGAGCATAAGTATCAGCAGAAAAAGGACAAAAGAGCACACAGCTATAAAGCCCTTATGGGTGGAACACACATTTTTATTAGCAAAAAAAAGGTGGCTTTTGAAATAAATACCCCCAAAAAACTGTAATTTTCCCCTAACCACCATGAAAACACTAACCACTACAGCAAAACCCCTGATACCACCACCCTTGGGGGGAATAAATAAATAAATAGGTCTGTTTCCTGGGGGAGGCTGAAGACACCAGCCCATTGGCAATGAGGGTGCAGTCCTGTAACCAGATGCAAGTATCAGTATCAATCCACAGCTCTAACCAGCTTTAAACAGAAGAATATTTACTCCACGCACGAGGAAGAAGATGAAGTGCTTTGTCTCGTGAGACACATAGCTGCCAAATTTCCTTCCCACAACGCAGTGCCAAGTGGGACTGTATTTCTTCTCAAACTCCTGCAGAAAAGACCGCTAGGAATTTAGTAGGAGCATACCGCTCACTCACATGCTCTCTATAGACTTCTTTTACTGTTGAATCATTTAACAAGCATTGCTATTTGCACAAGACAATTCAGGAGCAGTATATACGCTTAAAAATATAAGGATTGAATTACTTATCTCTAATATGTCACTTGCTGCTTAGTCCAAAAAAATAAAGCCCACCCAACTACATCTCACTAGCGCTTCTTAAATGAGAAGAACGAAGCTTAAAACATAACCTATGCTTAGATAATATTATTTCCCCTCTAGAATAACACTATGATTTCAATCTAGAACTTTTTAAGAATCCGAGACCATGTTCTCTTTACTCATCATATGTGGGAACTTACCCCAAATTTCAAAAACAGGGATGCAAGTTCACCAAAAGCAAAACTTGCCAGCAGTGGTTATACACTGCCACATCCAGCAGCTCGCAGGCAAGGATGTTCTGTGAGGGCACACAGGCATTTGTGTGTGGTTACAAGCCTCGAGTAAAGCAGCTTCCCCACAATGTCTCAGGTTTCAATGGGGAGCCAAAGAAAGTCTGAGGAGTTGTTGGCTATCAACCACCTATTCTCCACCAGCAGAAGACCTCCAGAAAAGGACTTTTCCTTGTAATTTTAAACAAACCAGACAATCTCACACAGCTATTCTAGAACTCTGAAGAGATCCCTAAAGCTGAAAGTGAAGACTACTTATGTTAAATACTTGGCAGAAAGGACCTTCCCTCAAACAAAAACTAAAATCAGTGTTTTGAACCCAATTACTGGGCACAGGGATATGTTAGCAGCCCTTTTCCTGTTAACCCTAAAAATAGGAAAGCGCAGGAAATTATTAAAACAGAAGGTATTGCAGAAGAGAAAGAGAACAAACAGGAAAAGGCATATTTAAGAGATAAAGGGGGAAAGTAACATGAGAGTATCAGCCCGCACAAAGCCTAGCTCAATTATCTAGTATCTCCAGAACTTGCTTCTTAAAGAAAGCCTAGAAACTCCCCCTCCTCTATCTTTGACGTGCAGAGATTTCAAGAGGATATTACAAGCAAAGATTTACCCTCTTAATAAGAGCTGCAATTTCTTTTTCAACATTGTATTTCTCTAGGGCTACAATGGCACAATCAACAGCTTCTTGCTGCATCTCCTCAGACATGTCCGTGTCCTTAATCACGGCTTTCTGGTCACTCATGGTCACCTGCACGAGGAGAGGAGAGTTCAGCGCTGCAGGAGGCCCGCAGCTGCGCGGGGGTGCCGGCCCTCGCTCGGGGCCCCAGGAGAGGGTGGCGGCGGCAGCGAGGGTCCCGCGCGCCGCCTCCCCAAGGAGCCCCCTCCCCGCGCCCCCGCGCTCAGAGTGGCACCCAGCACGCGCGGCCCCTCCCAGACGTCCCGCACAGGCGCTCGCGGCCCCCGGAGCGCCGTGGCTCCGCCCCCACGCTATTCCCGCCCACCATTGGCCGCGCCCCCCGGGGCGGAGCCGTCCCGCCCTGCGGTTACCATGGCGACGCGCAGCGACCCGGATGGAGCCTTTTCCGGGTGGTTGGCCGCGGAGCACACCGGGAGTGGTAGTTCCTGTCGCTCCGGGCCCGCCCCTCCTCCCGGCTCCACGTTCCGCCACGCACCGTTCCCGGCCTCTTCCCGCTCCCTGACAGCCCCCGGCCCTCACAGCCCCGGGTGGGCGAAGGGATGGGGAAACTCTGCTCCTCCCCAATAACCCGGCACCTTGCAAGACTGGGGATTTTATTGTCCAAGGTGGCTTGCCCAGAGACAGCACCAGGAAAAGGAACAGCTCAAGGTTTGCAACAGGGCATTTGTCTGCCAGGGAGTGTGTGATAAAGGGAAAAGAGAGAGCAGGGGGAGAGAGGGAGAAGGGGAAGAGAGAGGCAGAAGTGGGGAGAGATGGGGGAAAGGGAGACAGTGGGGAGGGACCAACGTGAAACAGAAAAGAGCAAACACTGTCACTGCTTACACAGCACAGGCAATGCCCAGGTACAACAGATGCCCATAGAACTCTTAAAGGCCAGAGTGCTTCAACAGCTCTGCTGGCAAAGACAGCAGCTTTCGAAAGAAAATAAATACAAGGAAGAGCTTTTTGGTATTTTTCCTCTTTATAGCCACAATGAAACACCAACTGCTACAGAAAAATCCCTGACATTACCCTTGAAGACCGAGGTCTGCGTCCTCAGGAAGGCTGAAGTTATGGGTGTGATAAGGTCAGCATACAGTCCTGTAACCAGATGCAAGTTTCAGTAACAGTCCGTGGTTCTAACCAGACTTAAAGAGAAGAATAGCGACTTGGCCGAGGTAGAAGTAGATGAAGTGCTTTGTCTCATGGGTCACGTAGCTTCCGAAGTTCCTCCCCACGATGCAGTGCCAAGTGGGGTTGTATTTCCTGTCAAATTCCTATGGAAGAGAGGACACTAACAGTCAAGAACTCTTCCAAAATTACAGGAGATTGGCAGAAAACATGCCTTTTTTCCTGCAAATCCCAGCTCACCAGAACTGCAAAGAAAAGCTTAATACTAAACCCAGTAAAATGAACATCAAGCACTTCCTCAAACAGGGTTTCCCTGTGAGGAAAGCTCAAAAGAGGTGCCAAGCTTTCTTCCAGCCAAGGCCAGGTCAGCTGCCAGTCTCCTATTCACCTAGATAAAGAGATGGAGGAAGAAGATACTTAAACAGAAGAGTGAGTGAAAAGAGGAAGGATCAAGAACAGTACAGGACAAAGATGGGGAGAGAAACATTAGGGACCAGCCTGCAGAAAGACCAACTCGATTATCTAGCATCTCCAGAACTTGTTTCTCTAGAGCTACTTGCCCAGCAACATTTCCCCTGCTTGATTTTTTTTTTGATGTGCAGAGGGATTTCATGGACATGATGTTTCAAACAGCCATCTACCTTCTTTATGTGAGCTGCGATGTCCTTCTCAATGTTGTACTTCTCGAGGGCCTGCGTGGCGCATTCCACAGCATCCTGCTGCATCTCCTCCGACATGTCCGCATTCTTGATGACAGCCTTTCGGTCACTCATGGTTGCCTGCATTCAGCAAAGACGACAAGACCTCTGAGTTGCAGGAGCACTGATCTGCACATGGGGATCCCTGTGTGCACTTGGATACTCAGCCATATCCCACTCTGTCTGACTGTGGGCCAGGAGCCTGTGCCTGGACATGCTACACTGCATCCCTAGTGGGGTGTTGGAGCCCTGCATAGCCCAGAACAGCGTTTTGGGGGTCCTTCAGATACAGCACCCATCCTAGGGGAGCTGCTGTTGCAGGCAGGAGAGCTCAGGGAGGGTCCCCGCACGCTGTCGCCTCGAGGAGCCCCCTGCAGCCGGGCGCAGCCGCCCAGCACAGCCCCAGGATGAGTCCGCACCGGCTCCAGCACTGAAACGTGAGGAGATCCCGGGCAGCCTCGAAGGCGGCGCCGCCCCCGCAGTCGCGGACCCCGGCGTGGCCTTTGGGGAAGGGACCCCGCCCGCAGGGGCCG